GGCCTGGGCCCAGAGGGAGGCAGCCTTGTCCTGGAAGGGAAACCCAGGGGGAGGCACCCGGCAGTTTATATACCATCCTGGCCCTCGCACTGATTGGCTGTGTGACTCCGCAGAGGGCACTATCCATTTCTGAGTCCCAACTCCCACTTTTGGCAAAAGATACTCCCGTTCTCCTCTTTACCTAAAAGCAAAGTTCTTCCATATTGTGAGTATGGGGCCTACGGTGGGGGTCCGAATCCTGCCTCTGCTGCTTGGTAGCTGTGTGGTACTAGGTAGTTTAGGCAACCACTCTGAACCTCTGCCCCTAATGTACACATGGGACGTGAGCCTTCCAGGCCCCGAGCACCCTGCTCAGTGGAGCAGGTGCCATCAGCTGCCTCCTTCTGTGAAACCCTGGGAAGCGGCAGCAGAGGTCTTTGGGGCCGATTGTGAGTCGCTGCTGTTTGGCCGGTCAAAGCCCTTGTTCATTTCCCAGCCTTAGAGGTGTGGCTCATTCTGTGGTACTGGGGACTGAATCCAGGGCCTCCACCTTGAGTTACATCCTTCGGCCTTTCTTCTTTTTTGAGATAGGATCTCACTAAGTTGCCCAGACAGGCTCCCACTTTTGATCCTCTTGTCTCAGCCTCCCAGAGTATCGGGGTCACGGTGTATGCCACCAGATGTCAGCTGACCTTGCCATGTGGCTCCCACCTTGGCTGGAGGCACTGTAGTGGCCTAGCAGAGACGAGACTCTCCCTAGGTAGGACAGGCGTCCAAAGGGCCACCCTCCAAATTAACCCAGAGGACACCCCAGCCCTTGCTGCAGGGAGGGAGCAGAAATCTGGTGGGCACGAGAAGGGGAGGGACCAGAAGAGCACACACGGCTGCAGGAGCCAGGCCCATCGAGAGGGTGAGGACGCTGCAGACCACCCACACCCCAGACGCAGCCCTGGCAGGTCCGGCTCTTAGCCGAGGTTCCCTGAGACGAGACTGTGACTGCCCACACAAGGTTTATCAGGATACCAGGGTTGGGACCATCAGAAAGAAGCATACGGAAAAGATGGGGGGTTCCTAAAGCGTAGCTGTCAGGAAAATGTGCACCATCAACAAGGTGTCCGCCATCGAGCCAGACTCCACTGTGACCAACAGGGCTTAACCCCGCGGCTGGCCACTGTGAAATGGGACAAAGAAAGCCTTCCTTAAAATTACCCCACCCAGGGGCAAGGAAGCAGGGGCACCAAGGACCCGCTGGAGGTGGACTCCCTGGACTTCCTGTAGGTCTCCTGGTTTTCATAAAAAGCCTTTGGGTTCAAAGCATAGACTGTGGCGTTGGGAGCTGTGTCAGAGTCCTGCAGGACCAAGAGCTCTGAGCAGGGTCCTGGCTGCATCTGCTGCATGAGTCGGACTCATGTGGGGGTTGTGGGGAGCAGACAAGGGCCTGTAGTTTCACTTACGGTCACTCAGGGCTGCCTCTGGGTCTCACTTGGTTGGTGGATTAGTAACTGGTGGTCAGCTTATAACACGAGTCAGCCTGGTGCTGAGCCTGATGGCCACATGAGGATTGTTGCAACCATCAAAGGCAAAGGCAGAGTTTTTGTTTGGTGCCCTTGGTGCTCCTGTTGCTGTGGGTTCTCCTGGAGGAGCTTGTTGAGCTTCTGTCCTGATACGAACTTGGCTGTTCTCATGGTCAGAGGAGCTTGGGACCTTGTTATCACTGAGAATGACTGTGGTCCACTTTGGGGGAGCTCTGGTTCTTAACTTGAGCATTGCTTCCTCCGGAGAAGAAGATGTGTGTGGTTCAGTCTCCAGGAGAAGCTTGCCACGCTGGCTTCCTGATATGAACTCGGCTGCTCTCATAGTCAGAGGACCTTCTTGCTGAGAACGGCTGTGGTACTTTTCAGGGGAGCCCTGGTCCTTAACTTGAGTGTCACTTCCCGGCTCCAGTGCAGAACCCTCAGCCTGCTGGCACAGATCCTTCATCCCGCTGGCACAGACTTTCTAGCTTCTACCACTGACCTTGGATCTTCCCACTGCAGATCCATGAAACAGACTTGCATGAGTCATTGTTGTGGATTCTAGGCCTTCAGCTGGACTCACAGGAGGCATTGTCATGGGCTCTAGGTCTTTGTTTTTTTAGTCAGTACTGGGGATCGAACTCATGAGAGCACGCTTGCAAGGCAGGCGCTTATGCCGCTGAGCTAAATCCCCAGCCCTGGGCTCTAGGTCTTCATCAGGACTCATGCAGGACACTGCTGTGGCATCCAGGCCCTCCACTGGATTCCTTGAGTCTTAGTGTGTGGACAGATTTCCCATACTTCTTGTATTTAACACTTTGGGTGACCATTATTATATGTGCTGTAAATAATTGTTTTCCTTGCAATCCCCGACTAGAATACTTAGTATCAGCATTCTGACCAGACCCAAGGGTACATTTGCAAGGACCACCTCTGGAGTCCCTGAAGGTCACCTGGCCGGGTTCTGGTGTCCCCTATCCTCCTGTTTATGGAGTGTGGTGGTTGGAGAGCTCCCAGACATGCCAGGAGTGGACATTTTCTGCCCCATTGACAGGCGAGGATACCAGTCCTGTCCTCTCTCCCCACCCTACAGAGTAAGAGGCACTTTCTCTGCTCCATAGAAACAGTGATTCTTTTTATTATGGCAAAATATACACCAAATCGACCATCTTCACCATTTTTAAACGTTCAGTGGCTTTGAGTGAGTTCTTATTGTCATCCGACCATCACACCATCCATCTCCAGAACTTTTTCATTTTCCTAAACTGTGCCTGCTGGACGTGGTGACACACGCCTGTGATCCCAGCACTCCAGAGGCTGAGGCAGGAGGATCAATGTGAATTCAAGGCTAGCCTAGACTACATAGTGAGTTCAAGGCCGGTCTGAACTACACAGCAAGACCGTCTCCAAAAACCACTGTCCCCATGAAACACTAACTCATTATATTTTCTACCCTAGTCCCGAGCAGCTACCATCCCATCCTCCCTCTCTGTGAATCTCATTCACAGAGAGTGATTTTTGCCAAGTGTTCCAGGGCGCTTCTCACTGTCCAGACCTGCTTCCTCTTCCTGGGGGAGGGGGGGCAGAGAAGTCCTTCGCTGCTGGTCTCACACACAGAGCTTTATGTGCACGATTGTTCTTTATTGCACCAAAACAGGGCAGCTTGTGCCGGCCTGTAAATTTAACAACCGTGGCACACAAAGAAATCGCGGTGGATGACAGCACAGACAAACATTTATGATACCATGCTCGGAAGGAAGCAGGTGTTCTTCCAGGGACCCACATCATAAGGCCACCTCTCCTTCCTCTAACCGCAATGAAGGAGCTGCTAGAGAATAAACTACCCACTCTGGCTCTGGGTGGTGCGGGTGAGGTGATTTCCCTCTCGGGTTCTTGAGATGAAACACGTGTTCCTCTTCTGCTGTCTTCTCCAGGTTTGGGGGCCCAGCCTCCTCCCTGTGCTAGGCCAGATCCTTCCTCCCTCTGAGCCTTTGCCCTGGCTGTCCTCTGTCCTGGAGCTATCTTCTCCGAGCTGCACACTTGTCCCCTCCCTTGCCAACTTCAACTGTCCCCTTTTTGGCCAGGCCTCCTCAGGCCCACTCTAATTAAGTGTAACCCTGCTCCTCCCCAGCACGGCCACCTCCTTCCTCATTTTGTTTTTCTCTATAATGCTCTCACTGCCGACAGACTGTACTATTACTGATTTATTCACTTATTTATTTATGGTATTGAGCCCAGGGAGTGCTGAGCTGTACCCCAGCACTTTAAAATATTTTTATGTGGAGGCAGAGTCTTACTAAATTACTCAGTTGGCCTCAAACTTGCAAGCTTCCTGCCCCAGACTCCCGAGGGGCTGGAACCCCACGTTGTTTATTGCTGCACCCTTGAGCATCTAGAACAGCAGGGCACCAGGCTAAGGCATTATAAACACTTGGGGGTGCTTAACAAGTGGCTTTTGACTGAATAAGTGCACAAATGGGGCCATTTCAGTCTAGATGTTTCTCATTTAGGGGCAGGAAGCAGCAGGAAAGGACAGCAATAGGTAGTGGAGCAAGAAGGAGGGGGTCTGGGGGACACAGGTCGATGCCACGCTGTCACCAGATACCCTTCCTCTGACCCAGTGGTTTCCAATATGGTCCCCGGCGGGAAGCAGCACCATGGTCAGAGTATGGAGGGTCCTCCCCGACCCCTGAGGAAACCAGCCAGGAAACAGAACTTCACACCAAAGACCCAGGCTTCGAGACCATGCACAAGGAAGCCATGCTAAAATACAGGGAGGGCTGCCGGCGGCTAGAGGGTGAGCCGAGAGCTGGACCACTGAGCTAATGAGCAGACGCCACAGGACTGATTCTAGCTTAATACCGAGGTGTCCAACAAGGGGCTGAGCAGCTAGGTGAAAGGGGCTCCAGCGGCTGCGCCAGCAGAGTCCAGGATCCACACACCCATGGGTCCGATCTGCCACAGGTGGGCGCAACAGCCGAGCACCCAGCGCTCGGCACTGGGAGGACTGATGACTGAAGAAGCAGAAACACATACACTGACTAACTGTGAAGGCACAAAACTGGGTTGCCAGAGAGGGGGTGCCTGGCACAGACAAGGGATCGGGAGCCCTCTCTAGGGCCTCCGGGGTCTTTTGAGGTGCCCTGAATGGTGGGCATGTCTCCAGTGCACCCCAAGGAGAAGGAAGCTGGGAGCCCGGCGCTGGGATCTTGGTGCATGGTGGAAAAACTCGAGGCCGAGAGGTCGGGAGCGCCCTGCCCAGCAGCACACGGTAAAGCGGCTGAACCGTTGGTGGGTGGAGCAGCAGCTGAAGCCCTTCCTCCCTGCACGCGGGCACTCCTCGCCGCCAGTCCCACCAGCTGCCCCAGCACAGGGCAGGGCGGAGGGTGCCAAAGGTGAGCCTGGAGGAGGAGCGAGTTGCAGCCGGACCCCGGGGGCGGGGAAGGGGCAGGGGCGGCCCGGTGACGTCATTTCCGGGCTCGGGATTTTCTATATAAGCGGGGTACAGGGGCGCAGCTGCCAATACTACTGCCGCACTCCTGCTGGGCGCGCCATGGCTCGCGGGCAGACCGACGGAGCCGCGGACGCTCGCCCGCCGAGACGCGGCGCCCCTGCCCGCCGCCGGTCCAGCAGCCTCTCGCCCGGCGCTGCCCGGCGGGTCCCCAAAGCAGCAGCCGCTCCACGCCCCTGGCTCGCCATGCGCTCCTGCGCCGTCCTGGCGTTCCTGCTGTGCGCCGGGCAAGGTGAGCGGTCCGGGGGCTCGGCCGAGAGGGTCCCGGGCGTAGGGGCGCCCGGCCTGCTCTGTCCACGCGTCCCCTGGGCGCGGCGAGCGTTCAGCACCGCGGACAGCGCCACGTTCTTCTGGCCAGCACTGTGGCCTCCACCCGGCCCCGCGGGACACCCAGACAGGACTCCCGGCCGCATGGGACGGGGCCCCCACCCCTAGTCCAGTCTCGGCGTCTCGGCTGCATGAGGCCACGCCAGCTTTGCCCTGGGGTGGCCAAGGTCACTGGGGAAGGGGGGAAGACCGCTGCTGCTTGCCCTCCCGCCCCTCTCCCTCTCCCATTCTTCCACTTCCCGACCTTCCTAACGTCTCTCAGAATCCCTCCCCAGCTCCTTAACCCGGCCTTTGGGGTCCCCCCCCCTTTCCATGCTGCTGTCCCCGCCCCAGTCCCACCGCTCCGCTGGCCTTGTTTTCCAGGCACTTGCCTGCAGTGCACACACACACACACACACACACACCCGCCCCGAGTTTTCCCCAAGGTAAGGGTTAAGGCCCTTCAGTGCAGCCTCTGAGGGCCTCCCCTGGGCGCAGCATCTGAGGAAGAGAAACAGAATCAGCCCTAGCCTCTCCTGTGGGTGGGAAAGTTATGAGGGGCAGCATGGGATGAATGGGCCCCCATGAACCCAATCAGGAAGGCCTGGGCTCCTCTCAGTACAAAAGCGTGACCCTGGTGCTCTCTCTTCTTCCCAGTCACTGCCCTCCCCGTGAACAGCCCTATGACTAAAGGGGACACCGAGGTAAGCAGGAGCACCGGGGATGCCCTGGGATGGGGGAGGAGGCTCCGGTGGTGGACACCTCGCAGCCAGTTCTCCCCGGCTGCAGGAGTAAGACTGGCAGCTAGCCAAGAGCCAGCACTGCGGCTGCTGCACCTGGGGACAGCTTGCAAAAGAAGATATCAAAGATTGCTTGCTGTCCCCGCTGTCCCGCTGTGGGGACTTCCCCAGCTCTCTCTCAGGTTGTGCACAGCCAAAGGGGCCTGTGTGCTCCCCGCTGGGTCCAGGTGCCAGGTCTACCACCCAGAACACTCCAAATCCAGGGGGCCCGCTGTGGCTGGTGGGAGTGGCTTCCTGTGGTCATTGCTGTCCACAGACCTGCCTGGCTCTGGTGTCCCCCTTTGTTTTTTTGCTCCCCCTTTAGATCTGATAGCAACACCCCGATCTGGGAGGCCTACAAACCTTAGCTTTCCCACAGGACCACAGTGAAAACATTCTTGATTTTTGCTTCTTCACCCAGAGTTCTTGCTAGTGGGGAGCTGCTGGTGGAGGTCACCATGGAAAGTGCTTAGGGACACCACTGTGAGTTGGGGTGGTCCCTCATCGGTAAGAAACACTACACACATGATATACTTGGAATTTGTCCCCATTTGAGCTAGGGCTGTTTTCCAGGCCCTGTACTCACCTGTGTCTTTGCTTGAGTCACTAATGTTACTCCTCATTTTCTAGGTGCTATTTTTTTTTGTTCGAAGTTACAATTTAAATCAAAAGCATCAAAGAAATCTCAACCTTCATTTCTTTAATTACAGTTCCAATTTTTGTCCCTAGGCCAGAATTTAAGCCTCCACACCACTCATTCTAGCTATGCAACTTTGGGAACACTTAACTCCTCTGACCCTCCTCTTCCTACGCCCTTGAGGGCGGCGTGCAGAGTAGGAGTCACGGATGTGAAGTGCTTGGCACAGAGCAGGTCCTCAGTAAAGGGATCCTGTTTTTCTTAGAGCTCCCCTTCTTGACCTCTCAGCCCTCCTGGGGCTCCTAATTCCTGCCTCAGAGAATTGTCCTCACAGACTGGTGATTATCTGACATGCCCAGTGCAGTATCTGAGGTTCCGGGGAGTCCAGGGCAGAGGCCGCCGGGCACTGATGCCAGAGCCCATATTCAATCCATGTTGGTCGCTATATTATGCTCAGCAGTATGGGGTCACGGGTGCCAGAGCAGCTGGTTAAGACCTGAGTGTTCCACCTGAGGCTGTGACTGCACACACTGTGGAGCGTTTGCCAGTTTTCCAGCTGGGATCCGTAGACTGGTTGCCTTGGCATCCCCGTCACAGCCTCCCACCGTCTCACTCTCCACCAGCCTCGCCTGATGCATGTCTGACACCGCCTTCTCTGCCCAGCTCTAGGCTGTTGAAGCAGGTCTGCAGCTGAGAAGCCCTCCTTGGGCACGTGCGAAACTGCACGCTGTGTTCAGCTTCCCCATCTGTGCCTCGTCACCCTGGAGGGGGCAGTGGGAGAGCACTTCACTCCCATTTTACAAATGAGGACACTGAGAGGTTAAGCCACTTTCCCAAGGTCATGACACTCGGAAATCACACTTCTAGGAGCATGCTCACCAGTGGCCATCTATTTAACTAGCTGTCCACAGTAGCTTGCCGGACCCTGGATAAGACTTTCAGAGAGATGGCTGCTGTTGGCCAGGTGTAGCCAGTGTAATCCTTATCCAGCCAGGAGACTCATCCCGTGCATGAATATGGAGCCAGACTATGAGCCTGTCACACCTCCCATGTGACAACACTGTGTGCTGGAAACAAGATAGAGCCAGGGAAGTCTTTGCTATCTTCTGTGCAGTCCTGGGAGAGCTGACCCTGAAGCATCTGCAAGGCCACAGCACTTTGCGCCACATCCTCCTGATCCCCAGAAGAGTTCCTCAGCCTTAGAGAAATAACCTTGCAATGAGAAGGTAGCATTACCCCCCCATACACACACACGCACACCCTACCCTCACTGTGATCTATCCTAGAGGGGCAGCTGCTGTCCTGGCCATGCAATGGGGGTGCCTGGCACATGGTAAGCATCATGTAGGGATTTTCTATCATTCCTGATACTACTGGGTTAAGAAGACAAACAGAGCTTCTGAGCCAGGCACCCACTCACTTGTGGAAATCAAAGCAGATGCCCTTCGTTCTCATTAGAGTTGCCCTAGAGTCCTTAGGGGCTGAGCCCACCCCCAAATCAGTCCCAACTTTTCCTCCACTGTCTTCCAGGTGATGAAGTGCATTGTTGAAGTCATCTCTGACTCGCTTTCCAAGCCCAGCCCCATGCCTGTCAGCCAGGAGTGTTTGGAAATCCTCCAGGGAGGTAGGAGTCCAAGGCTGGGGCCGGGAGTTGAGCACTAGGTGTGTGACTTTGGATGGAATCAATCATTGAAGCTGCTAACTACTGAATGAGAGCTGGCCTAGGCCAGCACTCAGCTGGCATCTGAAGGAGACTGGTACTGAGAGAGTCACAGTTCCTATGCTCCCAGAGCCTGTAGACCAGCAGAGGCAACCTAACACTAATACAGTGAGCTGGAATTTGGGCAGAATGGAGCCAGGGCTGGAAGACCAAGCAACCAGACCATGGGCTCCCTGAAGCCTGTATCTCGTGTGCTATATCCCCGGGGTCAGAATGCATTTGTCACCTGGCGGATACCCTGTGGATCTGTAATGAATAAGAAATGTGGGGGGGGGGACCAAATATTTCCACACTAATGGTCGTCTTGGCCAGCTGTGAGGCAGAGTCCTCTGGGTTGGAAAGCAGCATTGATAATCCAAGTAGAAAGTGAAGAAACGATCCTCCATGTCTGCAGAGCAGACACGGCATGGGCAACACCATGGTGGTGAGAAATGTGCTTGGAGAGACCCCCATTCATGCTCAGGGCTGCTGCCCATAGTCTGAAATCTGGGTTACGGAACAGTGGCCAGCCTTCTGATGTAGGAGCTCATTTCCATGGCTACCCTAAGATCTAGTCTTATTGCTGCCACCCTGACTTTGAGTTTCTAGAACAAATCCCTTTGCACTCAGCTGGAGATATTGATGGTAACCTCTCTCAGCCGTTCCCTGGAAGCCACCCATAATTCTGCTCCTCCCTCGCAGATGAACGGATCCTTTCCATCCTGCGACACCAGAATTTGCTGAGGGAGCTCCAGGACCTCGCTCGCCAAGGTATTTTCCAGGCACTACATGCAATTCTGGGTAAATGCCAGTAACCGAGTCAGAAGATCAGGGTGCAAGGTTGAACAAGGTCTGCCAGAACACCCAGTTCTTTTCAGTGACAGAGCAGAAAGGTGGGGTCCTCCATGCCACCTGGCCAATCTGTTACTGACGCTGTTAATGAGATCTAGGCCCAGCAAGGTGGAGTATCTGGTCCAAGGTCACTCAGAGAGTAGGGATGTGTCAAAACCAGATGCAGCCTTCCTAATTCCTGACGGCCTTGGACTTCAGCTGTTTTAGGAAGGCACTCTCAGGACTAGAATGTGGAGAGGATTCTTTTCTTCTGTAGGCTGAGAAGTAAATTGATCATAAAAGAAAAAAGGCCTTTTCCCCTTGAGTCTGCTGAAGGGGTGATGGGGGAGGCAAGGTCTCACCTGCCACAAAACACAGACCAGACTTTCAGTGTGTTTCAGAGCGAGGCATTCAGAAAGCCCACACTGGGAATGCAGTGACTGTGAGGTAGTGAGCTCCCTGTCCCTGAGAGTATCCCAGCAGGGCCTGGACAGCTTGCTGGGCAGAGGGCCAGGCTGCTGTCATCTTGCAGAAACAACCACTCCCTCCAGGATTGCTGCAAGGCACAGCGCTGCCCGGGCCCATTAGAAAACTCTGGCTGCTGCTAGCGGATTCCCCGAGAGAGGCGAACATTTAAACAGGCTCAAGACCACTAGTGCCTTGGGTGGGAGTCTGGTGCCTGCTTCTGACCCAAAGGAAGACCCACCTTCAGGGCTGGGCTCGGTCTTGGGGAGGGGGGTGAAGGTGGTTCTGGCTCAGGAGGCCCCCTCTCTGGACCCTGTGGGGCAGGCTGGGCTGTGAGATCGGGGAAATCGGGGGGATGGATGAATAGACCCAGCCATGGCTCTCCTCGGTTGTCAGGCCTACTTTCTGTCACTCAAGGCTCTGCCCAGTGGCACGCACATACCCATGTGGTTGTCAAACACAAAATGGGTGCCTGGTATAGAATAGGTACATACAGGTGGAGCCGTGGCTGCTAGCACCTGTCCGTTGTGAATTTTGCCATCAGCAATCCTGGGTTTGAGGTTTTTAAAAATTATGCATTAAATACTTTATTACAAAATGATAATTTTTTTTGAGATCGGGTTTCACTATGCAGTTCAGGTGGGCCTTGAACTACTATGTAGTCCAGGCTGGCATCAAACTCATGACAATCCTCCGGTCTCAGCCTCCTGACTGCTTGGTCTACAAGCATGTACCATCACACCCAAATGAGCAGTTTACGTTTAAATAACTAAATATCATGTCAAGAAGACTATTAGAGCAGAATGTGTGTAGAAGCACGCAGTGTACGTGCCCAGCGTGCCGTGCACAGGTCAGGGACTGTTTCCCTTTACAAGAGCACTGTGAGCTCCTTCAGCCCTTGCCCTCACTCTCTCATGGGCCCTGTAATGCCTGGCACACTTGCCTCTTAGTCCCTGCCCATGTCAACAGTGGCCATAGAAGAGCATCCAACCATGGAAAGCCTGTGTTGCCCCAGGTCCCCACACTATGTAATGGCCAGGAGAGGACTAGAACCCACATTTGTCTGAGGCCGGGGCTGGCCCACAGCTTCCTCAAGATGCCAGCTGTGGAGCTGGCCTGGCGGAGGGGCCAGCATCCGGAAGTAGGCACAGGTGTGGGCAGTCCCAAGAGGCAGCAGCATCTTGGAACGATGCAGAGAGCGGGGCTTGGGGGTCACAGAAGTGGGTGGCAGCCCCACACTCAAGTGAGGGGAGTGGGGCTTGGGATTCCTGGCAGTGGGTGGCAGCTCTGAGCTCAGATGAAGGTGCAGTGCTTGGCCTAGGCTCCTGATGGGCCTGGGTCCCTCAGTGTCTCACTGGGCAGGCCTGACCTGGTCACCTGATTTGCACATGGCGACTGGGCAGGGGTGCCAGGGCTGGACCAAGTGGGATTCTCTTTCCTCTTCCCCACCAGGGACCAGGGAGAGGGCACAGCAACAAAAGAAGCACAGCAGCTTCGAGGAGGAGCTCTCAGAGGTGGCAGGGAACAACGGTGACAAGGCCAGACAGGACGGTCAGTGGCGCTCAGCCGGCTGGAAGTGGGGAGGCCCATGAGCACCATGGTCATGACGGTCAGGGCATCTTCAGAGCCCAGAGCACCTCCCTTAAGCCCTGGATGGTAGCTATTATGTCCTTCCCTTTACACAGGGGAAACTGAGGCTAAGAGAGATTAAAGTCCCTGCCCAAGGTGAGTCCCATGACAAGGATTGGAATCTAGGTTCCACCTGCCCGCCCCAGGGCTGGTGTTGTAGGGTAGACAGTCTCTGGCCTGGCAGGTGGCACTGCCCACCCTGGCTCCACCCTGTGGCTCCCTAGAGCTCCTGCAGGGCTTTGGTGGTCAAGCTGGAGGTGCAGGCTCAGAACCTAAGTAAACTGGGTCCTCATTCTTGAAATCAAAGAACTTTCAGGAGTCAGAGAGGTCATGGCTTGGGGCCATGTGATGCCCTGTCACCCGTACGCCCTCACGAAAGAGCCGTAAACTAAGGCAAACCGCAAATTTAAGTTCCTAGGAGCTAGGTCACAGTGGCACTGCAGTGGGGCAATGTGGTCGACTGCCCACACGCAGGCCCCAGCTGTCACCCTATAGCCACTTGGGGTGCTGCCTGGGCTCCCACATGCTGTTTCCATGGGAGGGGTCTGTAACCCCTGGGCACGTGCACACGCTTGAAAGCTTTAATGCAAGCAGACCCTGAGCATGGCGTTTGTATGTATGGGATCAAGGCTCAGCTCTGCTGCCTACAGCCTGCGTAAGCAGGGTTGGGTCAGTGTCCTCTCTGTGGGCCATCTGGTTCTTTGTGCAAAAGACATGGGACCACCTGTCACCTGGAGTCCTGGTGGAGTTCAAATGCTGGCATATGCTTGGCTATGCTTTTGTCTCCAGGAAAATACCTCTTTAATAAAACCTTACCAATACTGAGGAACTGGGCATTTAAAGGCAGAAACCCTGCATGGAGGGGACAATGAAGCCATGGTGCCCAAAGTCACACAGCAGTTCAGATTGCTGTCTTCTGGGCTCATCTTCATGGTCTGTTGATTTTGGGGTTTGGTTTTTAGTTTTTAAATCACACCCTGTTCTATGAGGCAGACCTCATAGACGCCAGCTAGTTGTGTGCAGAGCAAGCCCAGACACAGAAGGCAACCCTAAAGCTTGTCTTGGGCTGCGCTTCCTGGCAGCCAAGTCACGTGATGACTAAGATCTGAAATTGGCCCCTAGGGAGGCCCCGCACGTACCCTGGTCCTCAGGGCCTGACTTTGCCCTGTTGTTTCTGCAGAGGTGATGGAGGAAGCGTCCCCCAAGGAGGCCGTGAAACCAGGAAGGGACGCTAAGGAGACGAGCAGTGAAGCCACAGAAGGAGCTGGGCCCCAGGCCCTCCCAGAACCTGGGCAGGGGTCCATGATCTCACGGAGCAATCAGACCCCCAGCGAGGAGGAAGAGGACAGCGAGGAGGAGGTGGCACCGGCGGCACCCGACACCCAGCCTCCAGCCAACCTACCCAGCGAAAAACGCCCAGGCCTGCAGCCTGTGGGGGACGCTGAGGGCCCTACACGGGGTCTGGGAGACAGCGAGGAGGACCTGGGCACACAGGAAGGGCAGCCAGCAAAGAGAGAAGAGGAGGAGGAACAAGAGGAGGAGGAAGAGGCTGGAAAGAAGGCTGGGCCTGGGGAAGAAGACCCCACTGCAGCACTGAGCTCCCACCAGGACCTCAGTGACAAGGAGAGCCCAGAAGGTGACAGTATATAGGACGATAGGGACCTCCATAAGCTTGTCTGGGAGATGGGGACAGGTGAAGGGATCCCCATTCATGCCATCTTCTCCTTCCACCTGAAGGAAAAGGTGTGGTCTCTGTTTTCCAGATGGGGCACACCAGGCTCAGAAAGGTTGAGGAATGTGCCCAAGGTCACACAGCTCATGGGTAGTGCAAGCCGAGATCCCTATCCTGGCCCGTCTGACCCCCAGACCATGCTGCCTACAGCCACCTGCAACCTGGGAGCCAAGAGGGCTTTGCAGGGTGGGAGGCCAGGGGGCTCTGAAAACAGACAGGATGACAGGTGGGGGCAGTGCAATCCAGGACAGTGTCAGCTTCCTCTGGGCTGTACGAGACTCTAGCTCCCTTGAGGCTTGTATGAGGGCCTCCTCCAGGCTGGGTAAGGAGCTCCAGAGGACAGGGGCGGGAGGAAGAGATGGGCTCCGGCTCCCTGACCTCTTTGAGCCAAGAGGGTCTTACAAACATGGCATCAAGGTAGCCCTCCCTCTGAGGGGTCCCTATGGAGAGGCTAGGCTGGACCCTGCAAGACCCCCAATCTGTGGCCCCGGGAATGGCAGACACCAGGGAGAGTGGTGGCTCCTCCTTATTTCCTGCTCTTGTCACCACCTGCTCCAGGTCATTTGGAGGCCCTGGCTGTGAATGGAGCTGGGAAGACCGGGGCTGAGGAGGCTCAGCCCCCCGAGGGGATGGGAGAGCAGGAGCAAGAGGAGGACATGGCAGGGGCCCCTCCAGGCCCCTTCCGGGGCGGGAAGAGCGGGGAGCTGGAGCCGGAGGAGGAGCGGCTCTCCAGGAAGTGGGAGGACTCCAAGCGCTGGAGCAAGATGGACCAGCTGGCCAAGGAGCTGGCAGCCAAGAAGCGGCTGGAGGAGGAAGACGAGGGGGAGGAGGACCCCGACCGCTCCATGAAGCTCTCCTTCCGGGCCCAGGCCTATGGCTTCCCGGGCCCTGAGCCGCAGCTGAGGCGAGACTGGAGGCCGTCTTCCCGGGAGGACAGCATCGAGGCCGGCCTGCCCCTCCGAGCCCGCAGCTTCCCTGAGGAGAAGAAGGAAGAGGAGGGCAGTGCCAACCGCAGAGCAGAGGTCGGTATGGGCGGGAACCTACCCTGGGCCGGGCTCACCCCGACATGTGGCCCTGGTGCCACGGAGGGTACGTGGTGCCCTTGCACCTAGGCCCAGGGAGGTGCTCAGCTGGGGCTTCTAGGGTAGGGGAAGTGCCCCGCTCACAGTGGGCAGGAGGACAGGCGGGTGGCAGGGAGGGCGAGGCAGGCAGAGGGGACTCTGTCCTGAAAGCCACTGGGAGGCTGTGCAGTTGTGAGCAGGGCCTGGGGGTGACAGCAGAGTTCGGAGTGTGATGGGGAGACTGGAAAGAGAAAGGGCTGGCAGACTGACCTGGGGGGCACCTGTGGCCTTGAGAGCTGGGAGGGAAGTGGGCAGGGACAGTAAGGGACAGGTCATGAAGCTGGTTCAGGCACAGTCTCCTGGATCCCAGTTAGCCTGGGTACACCTTCCTCCCAGATTGAGGCCTTTTGTGGCAGAGCGGGGACAGGGCCACCTGGCCCCTGGGGCGTGGTGACGGGTCGGGAGCGTGGACCTGTATCGGCAGACCTGGGCTCATCCTCATGCCAGCTGTGTGACCTTTGCGGGTCATTGCCCTCCTCTGAGCCTCACCAGTTCCCTTATTTGGGAAACGGGGATTAGGAGTCCTTTCTGTTCACCTCATTATCACAATGACGACACACACGAGCTCCAGCTCGAAGACCTGGCCCTGCCTGAGGTCACTTGGGTAGTTGAGAGGGGGTGGTGCAGGGACACAGGGCATAGCCCCCCAGGAAGGGGGAGCCAGGTTCCTAGCAGCTGGAGGAAGCCCTGGTGGCGCCTGGTTCAAGTCACAGGCCAGGTTGGAGCTGGGGCTCAGGGGGCTCCCTGACCCCCTAGGGCTCGTCTTTGCCCACCTAGAAGAGGTCCCAACTCTCTCTCTGGGCCTGGCATGGGGTCTTGTTGGCAGCCTGAAAGGAAGAAGGCCCCTTCTTGGCTGCTGGGGCTAGGAAAGGGCATGTGCCCTTGTCCACTGAGCCTAGGGGGACAGGCTACAGGACAGCGGCTGTGGACGTGGCACAGGTCAAGCAGCCTTGAGCACCCCTTCCCCACCCACCGAGGTCAGGGAGAATTCCCCACCAGATTCCCCTCTGCACAAGCAGAGGGAGCCCAAGGTGGCCGGTGGAGAAATGGGGACCCTAGAGTCTCACAGACGCGATGGGGTGGGGGCTTCCTCTCCCAGTGTTCCTATTTCCAAGGCAGTCATTGTCAGTGTCCCTGTGGACAGGGTGTTCCATCAACAGCCCCCAATCAGCAGGGACCCCAGGAAGACACCCCCTTGTAGATCAAGGCCAGGGAGGTGGCCTCCTTCCAGCCCCGAGGCAGGCTGTACTCTCCTGGGAGTCTAAGCTCTCAGGGCCTGGATGCTCTGCAACACTGGGTCACAGGGCAGGGCTCAGCGGGGACGCTTGCTTCCCTAAACCATACTGGCAGCCAGAACTTGGGGTCCTGCTGAGATCAGGACCTAGGACGAAGGAAGGCCCAGCTGTAGACAGGCGAGTGTGGGCTGTTACCAGAGCCCCCCGTCCACGGCACAGTCCCCGCAGCACAGTCCCCATGGCCCCTCAGGAGCAACACTGAAGCACAGGTCCAGCTCAGGCCTGGTCTACCACGCAGGCCACTGCTCCCTGTGCAGGTGTGTGTGCGTGCTGGGGGCTGGCTACAGGGACCGGAAGCATTGTTTCCCGCATGCCCTGAAATGTCAGGAAGTGAGGCTGAGAAGCCACCGTGCAGCTCCCCGCCTTTTGTGCATCACAGTCCTCGGAGCACCCAGCAGGGTGATGGCATTTGGCCATGAAGCAGATGGGGCTCCTGAGGCTCACAGAGGCAAAGGTCACACAGCTAACCAGGAGCGCAGCCAGTCTGGGCAACTGTCCCTGATGCTGCTGGCACAGCCCAGCCCCGGAGTGACACTCAATGCTCTCTCCTAGGACCAGGAGCTGGAGAGCCTGTCAGCCATCGAGGCAGAGCTGGAGAAGGTGGCCCACCAGCTGCAGGCGCTGCGGAGGGGCTGAAGCACTGGGAGAGGGGTGGCCAGGGCCCCAAGTTGCCCCATGGCCCTGGCTCGGTGGTCCCCTCTGCAGGCCCTGGCCAGGCGGGCTGGACACTGCTTCCGGTAGGCAGGTGTCCTCCAGCCCACCCAAGCCCAGATCACCCTGTCACCCCCTCCCCCGTCTGCTCTCACCCCCATGGGGCAGCTCCGTAACTTTCAACACGGATTATTTCTCTGTGAGCACTGGCAGCTTTCTAGAAGTCCCCCCTCCACGTTTGCACCCACTGGGCACAACTGCAATAACTTCTGTTCTTTTGGTGAAAGCTGAGAACTCCTGACTATAATATATTCTGTAAAAGAATTATCGAAAGAAAAATAAATCTGCTCTGGCCTCTTTCTTTTTTTTGGCTTTTTTTCTTCTCAACTTTGAGTGGGGTGGGAGCCCTGGATGTGGGCAAAGGGACTGCAGAATTCAGTCAGCCTGGGGTGACTCCTTCCTGGGGTACTTCCTAGCTGTGGGATTATGGACCTCAGTTTCCTCATCTATAGAATGGTGGTGCTCACCTGCCCACAAGACCGTGTGTACGGTATAGGTGACACAGGTGGAGGTGAGGCCAGGTTGGGACACGGTACTTGTTCTGAGATGATCCTTTCCTAATTTGCTGTTTCCCCCATCCCCTGTGGGGCTAGAAGCCCTGCTGGCCACAGGTACCAGGGCAGTTGTGGACTTCCTGATGTGTCCTCTGAGCTGCACACATCCATCTTGTCTCCGCCAGGGCTGCTGGTGATGTGCACAGGACTATGGGGAGTCTGAAGGTTCTCTATATCTAATGGTTCACTAGAACAAAGTGGGTCTTAGTCTCAGTTTTGAGAAGGAAGAAACTGAGGCCAAAAAAAGGTGCAAGGGCTCATCAAAGTCACAGGCAAGAATGAGGCGCCCCACAGATTATGCAAATAACAGGCAAGGATGGGGTGCTGTACCCCATGTGTTGGTAGACCACTAAGGCCAATCATTCAGACACTCAGCAAACATTTGTGCACAGCTGCTTTGGGCTTCATAGGCCTAAATCTGAGCATTTGGCAATGACTAGGACGAGCCCTGGCTTTGAGAAACTCACTGCCCAGAGAGACAGCTGGACCCTTCCACAGCCAAAACAACTTGCAGGACCCTTGGCGGCAGGGAGGCCAGCCCTGGCCTCTCTGGGAGCCCATGTCCCTGCAGAAGGAAGGACAGAGGTGGAGCTTAAGTGTAGCTCTGCTTGCTGGCTTTGGTCAGGGATCTGCAAGTCCCTGTCCAGATGGCAGCTCAGACCTCCAGTAACAGCGAAGCAGGGAGGGTGGTTCCTCCAGGCAGGGGCAAGAAGACTCTGGGACCTTGGCAGGCATGGGACTGGGGGCATGGGCACTGTAGGCCCAACTCAGAGCCCCCTGCCACCCTGAGGGGGCCCGTGCAGAGCCAAATGCAGGGCCCCGTCTGGGATTTGGGAGCCACGTCCCGAGGACCCGGGTGATGGTTCTGCCAGCCTGGGGCTTAGCCGTCTCTAACTTGGCATCCAGCCTCGAAAGACTGCAGCGCATCTCTCCGAAACTTCTGGGTTCTCCTTCTAGTTCTAGAAATAAACCTCCTGCTCCCTTTTTGCGCATGTGCCAAGTCCTCTCCAATCCCAACACTACACAGCCACCCAAGCCTCCACCCCAGCCACTCCATAAAGGCCATTCCCCAGCGCCCTCTTTTTGAGGGAATCTTGAAATTTTCTGCTCCCATGACCACAATAAAGGCCTTTTTCTCTCTGTCTCCCTAACACTGAAAAACCTAACACCAGGCTCTGGCTGATGACTCTGAGCAAGCCGGGTGCAAGAGTGAAAACCTAGATTTTGACTTCAGACTGAAGGTGGAGTCCCTGTCCCAGCCACTACCTAGCTGGAGAGCTCAGCCACGTCAGTTTTATCATCTATAGAATGGGGACAACACTTCTTATCTCCTTACTAGACAGTGGGAAGGACTGGAGAGACGGGTAACGTGGACCAGAAAACCACGACTAAATGACATGAGTCTCTGGGGTCCCAGAAAGCCTGTTGCTGCTGCTGCCTGCCTCCTCTGAAGGGCTGTGGTTGTAAGGTGTTTATTGCTTCCCTGTTCCTAAATGTCAGGTCACACCCCACTGACAGTGATGTAATAACTGCCACAATGCGAGGTGTATTCCACCGGAGTCCAGGGACTGCCCATAATGACCCATCCCAAAGATGTAACCATGCACTGTAACCGCATGGAGCAAACCCAATCCAGTGGGCAGAAGCCCTGATTTCGTAGATAGAAACTCACACCGACTAAGGACTCACCAGCTTGGACTCTGGCAGAGCTTCCTGTGAACAGGGTAGGGGTGACACAGACAGCAGCTGTCATGAAGCACAGGTGGAGGGGTGGCACAACCAGCAGTATCCAAGTGAAAGCCCTCCGCAAGCAGCTTCTCCACAGGTAGCCTCAAAGGTGACCTGGCACACCCTGGAGAAGGATCCATTTGTGCAAGATGCCAAGTTGCAGGGGATTCAGAAAATAAAGTGAAAACAGCCATTCCTGGAAAAGGCCCTGGTCAGCCTCGGGGCACCCTTCCTGGTCATAGCCTGAAGGAAGTGGGTCCAGCCAAAGATCACACAGCCTGTGACAGCCAGCTCTCCTCTGCACGAGGTATGGGGTGGGGCTCCGAGCCCTCGCTGGCAATGCTGTGTGGAGTGGCGGAGGCCTGAGGGGGACTCAAGCAAGGACCCCTGGCCGCGCTGTCCCAATGGGACTCAGGCCGAGGCAGGTGAACGTGGCAGCAGGTGTAGCCAGGCTGAGTTGAGAAGCCGAAGCCCATCAAGGGTTACTGCACTTGTCCACCCCACGGTGACCTGTGCTGGAGGAACTGAGCTCCTTCAGGGACAGGTGATGCCCAGCCCAAGAGCTCTGGAGTCACAGAGGCAAGGAGAGGAGCTGCCCACTGGGTAAGTGACTGGTTTCTAGGGGACGGAAAAGAGGGCAGACACAAACCCCAGGGATATTCATGGGGCCAGCCAGTGGCTCTCTGGCCAGCAGCCATTGTAAATGCCTAAGATCCAGGCATGAGGCTGGCAAGATCAAGGGGACAGTTTCACCTGGTCTTGAAGTCGCTTTTCTCAGTGGGCAAAGCCAGGTTCCTACTAGAGCCTTGCGGTTTGCTACCACGCCCAGTCAATGGCCTCTGGGGACAGGAAAGCCTGTTCAAGGTCATCCCTCCGGCACCAATAGGACTAAGGACATGGCAGACCACATATAGGATGTGACTCCCACACAGGACACTGGGTGACTGTGGGCCAGCCGTACCCACACTTCCGTGATGAAGTGACATGTCACTTTCATGGCAAAGTCCAGGACAGGCTCCCCGTGACTGTCTTGGTGAAGACAAACACCAGCACCCTGGATGTCCTGCACATGAAATCGCGTCACTTCGTGACCCAAGGCATCTGTTCCCAGTGGTTCAACGTAGGAACCATGAGGTGACCTTCTGAAACCTTCAGCCCAAACACAGCCCTGCTGGAGCTGCAGCCCCGTGCCCTGACCACCACCAGGATGGGTGCTGTGGGGCCTCAGGGCAATGTGCTGACCAGCTGGGGAGGGAAACTGAGGCCTGGCTTCCAGCCGCACTGGGCGCTGGCAGCTGACCCCAGCAACCTGCTTCTTCCTGGCGGGGCTTCCTGTGGGTGTGATGCTCTCAGTGGGTTCACACCTCACGGACGAGGAGGCTGCCTCAGTGGGACTGTTTGTCCCTCACACAGCCCAAGGATGGGGCCAGTGAGGCCTCAGGGAAAACGTGCAATGTGCTCAACTTGCATAGGGCGGGACATACACCCGGGGGACACGTGGGGTTATCTCAGCCTGGCATCCTTCACAGCCTATCGGGTCCTTATCACCATCTACAGGGCCTGACAATGCTCCTGTGCCTGCTGGACAGTGTCCATCAGCCTGATGGGTAGCCCCTGTCCACTTCACACTGCAAGGTCTCTATGAGGCCAGACCCCATCCTCAGTTTCCATTCCTGGAAGATGCGACTCCCCCCCCCCCCCCGTCACAGTGACCTGTAGAAACTTAGCATCCCAGGAAAGTAGTCACTTGGCACCCAGCCCTAGACGCAACCATGCGTGATGCTGGACAGCACTGAGCTGCCCAGGGATCCGACAGAGCTGAGTCACGCCGCACACGTCGCCCGTCCTCATGGCAGAGTGGCATAGGATTTTATTTAAAAGGCATAAAGCTGCTTTATTAGACATCTTTTCTTTAAAGATCAGGAGGATGACATAACAAACGCGAGCAACATTTTGTAAACACGTGTGAAATGCAGTTTGATTTCAGTAGTTTATTTCGGAAACAAAGCAGTGCAAGAGGCTGGCCACGCTTTCCTGCTTCCCGGACTCAGGGTCAGACACCATCAGGGCAACACTTGGTTCACGTAACCATGGCGGCCCAGGGCCCGTTTTCCAAGGAAGCTGGGCACTTTGGCTTCCGCCCCTCAGCCTGGCCCCGCCCTGAAGGAAGGAAGCCTTCAGAAACCCCACTGTGTGCCTGCCTTGGCAGCCTCCCTAGGGCCACTCTGGGCCCCTTCCAGTGTCCTCTGCCTCACAGGACTACAGAGGGCAGATCAGAGGCCTTTTCTCTTCCAAAGTCGACTGGTTTCTTATGACACAAGATGCTGTCAGGGAGTCCCAGGCTCCACACACTCTGGGCAGAGAAGGCTGTTCAGATGCCCCCATCCCCTGGACCCTGGACCCTGGTATCAACTGTGGTCAGCCCGCAGCCATGACGACAGGACAGGTGAGGCTGGGGTGGGGTGCAGTTCCTCGAGGGCTGGCTTAGTGCCTGGGCTTACGAAGACCAGGAGGGCTGTGCGGTGCCTGCTTGCGGGATAAGGGCTGCTGCAGGTGGACAGCAGTGGACCCACACGGCCTGGGTGTCCCCTTCCTGCCCTGGAAGAGACCTCAGATGGCTCTGATGCCCCCCAGAGGCTCCATGTCTCACCCTGCCCAGTGCCACAGAGAAAGCAGACTGCCGCTCTGGGCTAGGGCGCAAAGCCAGCTCTTCAGTTCTCTGGTCTCGGCTACCCACTAGGGACGAGGGGACAGAGGCCCAAAGACTCAGGAAAATTGTTCTAAGTCCCAGCACAAATCCTGGGCACAGGTGGACTCAGCCCAGGGATCCTGGCAAGGGTCAGCACTGGGCTGGACCTACATGGAGAGGCCTGGTGACTCCGGGGAGCAGGGGAAGAGTGGCAGCAACCAGGGGCCCTGGCCTCTCCCCCGGGAGCTTCCTCTCCCATCCCTGGAGTGGGAAGGCGGGTCACAGTGCAGATCCCCAGCACAAGCTCTGCCAAAGGGCCTGAGAGCTCCCTGGCTTAGCGTGAGGGTTCGGCCACACACGTGGGGGCTGCTGGTCCAGAAGACACGGCAGGGGGAGGGGAAGGTCTGGGCGGGGGCGGCCTGGAGCTGGGAGGGCGAGGAACCGTGCCTCGGTTCACTCTGCAGCCACCAACCGCACATCCAGGCCTCCTCGCAGGGTCCCCAAAGGCCTGGCCCACAGCAGCCATGGAGACAGACGCACACAACCATGCACACTTGCACAGCAATCACACACACACACACACACGCACGCACACACACACACGCCTGCACACACACACACATCCACTTCACATTCACACCTAGTGTTGAAAACACAAGCATGTGTAAACTCAGTGTGAAGAGATCTGCACAGCAGGAACTAGGCAGGGTGCCCCTTTCCCATGAGCTGGGCTACTAGGTGCTCTCTTCATCTTCCCCCTACCCCTCCTTTAAATCATGACATCATAAAATCAGATTAAAAATTAAAAAAAGAAGCATCAGATCATCGGGAATTCTCAGTAGCGTCCCCATCGGGAGCTGCTGGCCCAGCGGGTATATCTGCGCTCCGCGCTGCCCCTCTGGGTCTTGAGCTCCATGGCTACTGCGAGGAGGCCTTGGTGGCCAGGGAGGCCACGCAGTGCTGCTGGAAGCTGGGCGACACGCCGCCAGTGCAGCCGAGTCTCTGGTGCGGCAGCTTGGCAGAGCCACCTGCGCCCACGCCGCCCGTGTCGGCCTCTGCGGTCCAGGGCGTGTCCTGGCCCATCAGGCTGCTGCAGCAGCCAGGGCCGGCGCTGCACGTCCGCTCGCCCGCCAGGCTGCCCGACTGCTCGGCCAGGAGCCTGCTGTGCCTCAGAGGGGCCACATCCCCCGCGGCAGCCACACTGGTGCTCTGGTCCTGCAGGACGGTGGCGATGTGATTCAAGAGGTCCGTGAAGAACTCGCTCACACCCTCGTATCCTGGGGCGGGAGACACAGAGAGCACAGGGGTGTCAGCCAAAGGGTGATGGGAGGAGGAGGTGACACGGAAAGAGCAGGCCCAGCAGAGAGGAGGCTGGGAGAAATCAAGGGGGGCACATGTGGTCCCAAAGCTGGCCCTTGATCCCTAGCTATCCCCAAGGTATGAAAAGCTGACAATTTCAGCTGATGCAAACACCCTGTCCTATCCCTGCCAGGAATGGTCTCAGCATCTCATTTAATCGCTGGTCTGCCCACTGCTGTGGTCCGGATAAGCATCCCCCAAAGCCTGTATGTACAGCTTGGTTCCTGCCCTATGGAGCCTAATGAGGTGAGGGGATCTTTACAAGGTGGGGGTCAAGCGGAAGTCTCCTGGCCAATGAAGGTGTGCCCTTGTTCCCCAGCTCCCTCTCTTTCATTCCTGAACTGAAGAGGCTTTCTCAATTCCAGAACCTCCAGCCTGCAACGTGCTGCCCGCTCACAGGTCCAGAAGTAACGGGGCCAACTTTGAATCATAGATTCAAACTCACACCTCTAGCTAAAATCAGCGTCCCATACTCTTGTGGCGAGTAACTCAGGTATTTTGTTATAGTCATAGAAAGCTCACAAACAGAACTACACAATGTGGTAAGGCACATAGGTGGAGGTGGTAGTGCATAAGGTCACTATGCACTTGGAATAATGATCGATCTCTCAGGACCTGGTCAGCCTAGCCAAGGACAGATCACTACCACTGTGTCTACTCTGTGCTCGGCTTCCACGTCTGGACATGGAGAGAGACCACTGCAGAGGCACCACTGCTGGGGCAGCTTCTGTTCCCCTCTCACCCTGGAAGACCATGCACTGGGATTGGCACCCAATCTCCAAACTATAATCCAAATAAGCCATTATCGGTGCGTTCATCAGTTTGCCATTACTATAGCAAAATACCTGAGACAATCATGGCAAAAAGCTCTCTGGCCAGTCAGGTGATTTGTACCCTGGCAGACTAAAAAGGCAAGGCCAGGCTGTGGGCCTGGGGCGGAGCTCCGAGAGGTGGGGAGCCTCGGAGTCAGCAAGCTTCTTGGCTGAGGGGCCCTCATCTTGCCTCTGCCTCTTAGAGATGGGGGTGCAGTGCTGGCTGGAGCACTGGAGGGGCGGGCAGTGGAAGCAGCAAGGAGCTGGGAGTGGCTGGCCCTGCCACCAAGGTACCATGCAACCAGGACAATTTCTTTCCGTCCGGGGGCCTCAGCTTCCCTGCATGTGCACTGTGGAGGGCTGTGCTCCCCTCAAGGTCTTTTCAGCTCTGTAAGTACGGCAAGTCCCAGGGGATGACTGATAGAGCCGGTCAAGGCCAGCGGTGCAACCAACGGCACAGGTCATGAGGGGGTGACGAGCCGCCTGGGCCTGCTGCCTTCCTGGTACCCACACGTGGATCTTCCTGCCCCTCCTGCGCCCTGGGCACCCACCCTGTCGATGCTCAAGGCTCTGCAGGCCCCACGCGAGGGGGCTCCTGAGACCCCACCAGCTCGCTCCTCTGCCACTGCCCAAGGACTGAGGCTGAAAACCCAGGAGCCTGGCGGGGACAGCACCAGGCTGCAGCTCACCTGGGAAGGCGTTGATGTCGATGACCGCGTGCTGCCCCGTCTGGTTGTTGATGATGATGTCAATCCCGAAGAGCGACACGCCCAGCGCCTGGCGGAGGGCCCGGGACAGCTCCCGGATGACCTCGTCGCTGGGCCGCTCGAACACACCCTCGATCTTGTCCAGCTGCCGACACACACACAGGTCAGGCCGGGGTAGGGGTGCCGGCCACACCACACAAAGAACCCTACAGGGGGTGCCGAGCCCTGCCACCCTGCACGCCAGGACAAAGGACAGATGGGCCGTGGTGAGCACTTGGCCCTAGGCCTGCTCTGGCCTGCAGAGGACCAGGCAGCCCTGGAAGTAGATGGCTCGGCAGTGGGCTGAGTGCTTGTCAGTACCCTGGAGGCTGGCATCATTCACAACATTTACAGGACGGGGAAAGGGCTCAGAGAGGGCCATGGCCAGTCCCGAGTCACACAGCATGAAAGCACAGGTTAGGGATGAGCTTTTTCAGCCTCTAAACCCAATCCTCTGGTAGGGAGGAAGGCCATGTGCAGGGTCCCGGACCTAGACGACACGAAGGTGGAGGTGGGACAGCGCTGAGCTGAGCCTTGAAGGTGGGAAGATCTGGGGCGGGCAGAGCGGAGGCAGAGCTCAGAGGCCGCAGGAGACAGCGACAGTGGAGACGCAGAGCAAGGGCAGAGGGGGCGGCGGGCTGTCGCGTCCTCACACCGTTCCTCCATCGTGGGCAGCGCAGCTGTGGGTTCTCGCGCTGGGCCCATCTTCCCTTCCCAGCAAGCGACAGACGAGGGCATTTCCCTGGGGCTGCTAGTTGCTGCTGCTCCCACATGACTGGCCAGGCCACCTTTAGCTTTTAGTGATGCTCCTGTGGGGCAAGCAGGGCTGTCCCAGCTGTGCCTCCCACTCTGTCCTAGTCTAGGTAGCCTGGGACAGGCACCTGAGCCTTCCCGTGTTCAAGCCTGTTCCCTGGCCAGGGCCTCCAAGGAAGTGGACCTTCAAGTGGGGGTTAAGGGATTTGGATTCAAATCCTGATAGTGATTTCCAAGCTTTCTAGATTCTCGGGAAAGTTTCAGTTTTCCCATCTGTAAAATGGGAATAGGGAAGCTTCCATCCTGGACTTGCTGCCAGGGAACCCTGCATCTGAATTATAGGGCAAAAACGAGCACATCAAGTGCCTAATAAATGGGGAGTTCCGGGTGTTGGGATTCAGGGGCCAGAGGGGAACAGGGTGGCTGATGAAAGCACAACTGCGTTAAAACATTGAACCCAGAATATCACATGACTCAGCAGCTGCACTCCTGAGTTGAAACCCAAGGGCTGAAAACAACTCCAACACCCGTGAACACCCACTCGAGCTGTGGCATCGCTCACAACAGCCATGGGGGGAGCGAGCCAGTGCCAACAGACAAACGAAGGGAAGAGACCGTGATGTGTGGCCTGAACTAGAGAACATCGGTCTCTGGAAAGATCGCACTAAAGAAGCCAGTCACCAGGGGCATGTGTTGTGCGATTCGATTTACGTACAATGTCCAGAGTGGGCAAATCCATGGGACAGGCTTCAGGGTGGCGGTTACTCGGTGCTGGGGCAGGAGGGACAGGCCACTCGCAGGCACAGGGTGGGGAAGGCCAAAGAACCGCTCCGCACTGAACCGCTTGCTTTAAGGTGGGTAATTTTATCTGTGTGACATTTATCTCAAGAAACAAGGGAGTGAAGCTGGGTCAGGACCCAGGGCCCTCGGTCACCAAGACAAACAAAATGGTCTCTACCCCTGAAATGGACAACAGGGAACTTCCAGAACTGTGCTATGCAGGGTCTGACACCTGGCACTGTCTGCTCTGTGGTTTGAGCCACCCGTCCAGCTCTGCAGAACAGGCCCATGACACCAACACCCTGTGTCTGACCTGGGGAGGGAGGTCCCCAGCAGTGGCCTGGCAGACTTCTGGGCCACTCGGAGCCTGAGGTTCAGCCCAGGGAGGCCCCCGAGGGCGCCTCGGCTCGCCTGCTCCCTACTGCAAGCCCTGAGCTGTGGCCAAACTCTGCCCAGGCACCAACTTCTCAACCCCAGTAGATGAGATAATAAAAACATTCAGGGCCCAAGACTCTGGTGAGCTGGTATTTCAGGCTCATGGCAGGGCCAGGCTGCGGCTGCCGAGGCTGCTGCCCCGTTACCATCTCCTGACGAGTTGTTTATAAAGCTCTTCCTCAGTCCAGTGAAGGAATCTCAGAAATCCTATTGAAGCCATGTGGTTACCCAAAACCAAACAGCCAGCCCAGGACAGGGTGAACGTGTGGAAATCCTGCCAGTGTGTTATACACAAATGGTGTGACCAGGCTTTCTGGGGAAGGAGGCGATGGAGTTGGGTGTCCCAGTGGACTGTCCCGATGGCCTTACCCCCCCCCCCCAGGGACACTGAGCACTCACTGCACACATAGCAAAGAGCGAGTCCCACCTAAGCCTCACCCCAGCAGAGCTGACAATGGCCCGGACAGGGTACATCGAGGCCCAGCTTGAAGGCACCGGCTGGGACAGGAGGTAGCTCCCAGGCCAGCAGATCCCTGCATGGTACCCCAGTGACACCAATTCCTGGATCACAGAGGCTGAGTCAGGCTGGCACCTCCCAGGGAAAAGGTGGCACCAATGATCTGGCCCTGTCCTCCACCTCCAAGGGCCAGCCCAGGTGGACTCTTGAGGAGCAGCCACATGTTGAGGGGAAGGCAGGACACCTGCAGGCCTCCCTCGTGGGGAAGAGCCCGGCTGTGTCCAGGCGGACCTCTGCTCACAGCCCTCAGTGTCCCTCGGGAACACTAAGTCACCCAGCTTGAACTCAGACAGTCAGGGTTCAGTCCTGAGACGCTAGCCCTGTACTGGGCAAGGACACTGGCAGGAACAGCATCTCTGGAGGTGTGCAGAAGGGAACTGGACTCCCTTCTGGCTGGATGAGGTGTGGACATCCAGCTGGGAGGAAGTCCTGGAGAGTCTCACACCGAGCAGACGGCCTTTCCTGCACCGAGCACCTACTCCATCTAACCGCATGCACTGGCCGGCCCCAAGAAGCTTTGTTTATAATCTGGTCACCCCGCATAGCTTCCCTGACTGGCTCCTGGGGAAATCTGTCCACATCCTGAAGGACAGCAGTGTCCCTCCAGGTCCCTGTCCACATCATGCTTTGTCTAATCCTCTGAGCTTCCCAAACAAACCAGAAACAAACACCAAGGTGACATGCTGCGAGGACTCGGGGGACAGGAGTGCGAGACCAAGGAAGCTCCCAGTGGGCCACACAGAGCAGGCCAAGGTGCCATGGCCAGCTGTAGCTCTTGTCCCAGCCCAGGAGAGGAAGGGGACACAGGCCAAGCCTCAGAATATCAGATGGACATGAGCTCACGGAAACAGGCGCCCCAGGACAGGACGAGTCCAGGGAACAAGACAGTAGCACTGCTGGCCTGCCAGCTAGATGAAGGGGCGAGCAGCAGACTGCGGCCCGGAGGTGGTTTCCATCTCTCAGAGCCGCTGCTCAGCATGGCCACTGTGGGAGGAAGTCACCTAGCTTGGACTCAGACGGTCACAGTCAAACTCTGCTCACCCTTGGCAAACCTAGGGGAGTTACCAACTCTCCTCTGGTTTCCCCTCTCCACTGGGCACCTGGGCTGAAGCCTCACAAAGTGCACTCACTGAACACCAGCTGCAATGTCCCTGCTACTGCACTGGGGGTGGGGGACTCACACCACCCCACGGCAGGCTCCTAGCCACTGCTCACTGGAGACCCATGTGGACAGGAGAGATGGGACTGTGAGCAGCAGGGCAGACCCTAAGCCACACCCCTGCCTCCACCCAGGCTCCAAAGCATCACCTGTCACCTATGCACAGCTGTGGTGCCCTAACCTTAACCCTGGGGCCCTTTGCCCTTCCCACTCTGCCTGGCCGAGAGCCCAGCAAGGGGCCCCAAGACCAAAAGCACCTCACACCAAGTCCAGGTGAGGGCAGGCCACCACACAGAAGCCACATACCTCGGTGAGGACCGACGATGACTCTGGCTTTGACACATTGTGGCTGTTGAAGAAGATGGACTCTCGGTCTGCAAAGGCACAAGACAGCAAAGGGCTGAGTTAGAAGGGCCAGGTAGGGACATGATTCCACCAACGGACACCAGGGGGCAGCAGCACCGTAGCCGCTAGCCAGGGAGGCTTCCAGCAGCGGCAGTGCCCAGCTCAGCTGGCAGGGCACCCTACCCTCAGAGATCCTGCGTCATGGGTGGGTGTGTGACCCTTCCGTTTCCATTTCTCTCTCCTCCCAGGTAGAAACCACTGTTTATTGGGCCCTCGACACACGGGGTTCCCTCACACAGGACACCTGTCTTAAGTGACAACTGGCTCTTTGATAATGTCCTCTCCGTGTCCCCACTGTGACACATGTTGCATATATGTCAGCAGGCGTTGGGAGGACAGGGAAGCTCATGAGCTGACATGGGGTGCACCCAGGTGTCAAAAGCCCTCCCCCCAAGTCCCAAGGCACTTAACGAGAATCAGCCAGGCCACTGCTGGTGTACAAGAGCTTACACTGTACAAGACTGCAGTTTCCCCACCACGTAGGGAAAATACAGGAAACCCAGGCTTCCAAGGACCCATCCAACAGAGTATCCAGAATGGACTGTCTTCCCCAAAATGCCCTCCACCTCCTCCAGCCCACGCATTCCTGCTCCATGTCCACCACTGCTGCACCCACCACCCGTCCCTGGGGCACGGAGGAGGCAGACCAATCCCCGGACACCGAAGTGGTAAGCTGACAGTATGTCCTTTCATCCTCGGGAGAAACATCCTTGCAGAGTGAACCAAGGTCGCTCTGGGGAGATGTAAGGCCGGCTGGTCAGCTAGGAATGGTCTCAAGCACTCCAAAGCATGAGCACATGAAGGCACGAATCACGAAACCACAAGCCCAGGAAAGAGTTCTAGAAAAGTCTACACCCCTGACCTCCCCCAGCCCCAAGAGCAGCATGGGACCATCCTGCTTAGGAGCCTTGAGGAGCCCAACAGCCCCTGCTTGGCCTTCACAGGGGGAGGTGCCACAGATCCCTCCCCTGAGGACCTGTGTGCCAGGGCTGGGGGACTCCATGGTGCTCCAACAATCATGCATGAGGCAGTGATTCTGGCAGAGGCCAAGCAGGCAGGCGCTGAGATGTACCTCTCATCCTTCCCGCTAGTGGGGCACAGAGGCCCCTGACCACCCCGATGTGTCCAGCAGTCCTCCTGCCACTCTGACCAGAGCCAGTCCAGATGGGGGGCATAAGAGACGGTCCTGGAAAGGAGCCTGGGGGAAATAAACACCCTGCAGGACTTGTGTCAAGCAGCGCCACCAATCTCCACTCCTGGGCACTGATAGCCATGAGGGAGCCTTGGTGGGTGGCGAAGCTGGGCGGGCCAGACACGGGAGCCGGACTCCGGCGGTCAGCACTGTGCTCTGGCCTTCTGTAGCCAGGCCCACCTTCTTCTTTTCCTTCTTTTTTTGTACCAGGGATTGAAATCACAACCGTGCACTTGCAAGGCAGGCGCTTATGCTGCTGAGCTAAATCCCCAGCCCATAAGCCCCACCTTTTTATCTTGCAGCTCCCCAGCCCAAGCGCAGGGTGCTTTCCCACCCAGCCCCTTGCAGGTCCCCCAAAATTAGTGGCCAGACTGACAGAGCAGGGGGGACAGAATGAGCCACCATCAACAGGAGGACCTGGCAACGTTGAGGGAGGCCAGGAAGCCCCCAGGAGTCACCAAGTGCACACATGGGCACTTGCTGGTGCCAGGAAAGGATAGAGCTGCACCAGGCACCTGCTGCACGCCCTGGACTGGACAGACCACAGCTTCCGACAGCTTACTTCCATGCACACATATCCCAAAGGGCTTCTCCTACCCCACTATTTCTAGCCCGTTGTGTTCCCGCCAGAGGATGGTTTGGCAGCAAGAGATGCCCCAGCCTCAGGGTCTCTCCATGTGGGTTTCATGCAGTGAAGGCAGCTTCTAGCCACTCCCCAGCACCCTAGGCAATGTGGAGGCCAAGATGGCCTGGAAGGGGCCTGAGCCCCAGGACAGTCCTGGCACCCAGGGCCTTGGGGATCTCTAAGACACCCCACCCCTCTAACAGAAGCACTGCGCCAGGGCCTAGCTCCCTGAGCTCAACAGCAAGGCTCTTGGTCCTGGGAGCTCCCTGGACTGGGGGCCCCAGCCGGTCCCTATTCCTGGACTACACCTAAGAACACACAGCACGGGTGACAGCAGGGTCTCCACCGATGTCCTGCAGAGGAGGGAGGACCAGGAAAGGAAAGATGAGTGCTCGTGGACTCAAGCTACAGGCGAGGAAACTAGATCAGAAAGAAGAGTCCACGACAAGAACAGCCCCAACATGCCAGTGACTGAGCAGCCCAGCCCCACCTGTGGCCACACTGCCTCCAGCCTCCGCGTGTCTCCTGTCCTTTCCGGGTGTTACAGTGGTGCCGAAGGCGACCCAGTGGCCTTCGAGCTGCATTAAACCCCACCTTCACAGCGGGGTCTGCAGCACTCTTCCCAAGAGCTCCCTAAAGAGGTGGTGTCCTGGATCTGCGCTACTTCCACTGCAACCTCTCATTTCAGTGACAACTGGCTCTTTGATAATGTCCTCTCTGTGTCCCCATTATAACACATGTTCACCAGGGCAGAATATGTCTCTGACAGGTCCCTGGCTGGACCCCCTGCACCTGCATAGAGGGGCCAGGGTGGCAGGTTCGGTCAAAGCAGCATTTCATTACCCGGAAGAGGTACCGCAGTCTACGCTGGCCAGCTACGGACTGCAGGCCAGGACGGCTGTACTGTAAACACAATAGCTTCCTTGGAGCACAACCCACCGTCCATCCCCATCTCTCTACAGCTGCTTTTGCTCTGCAACGGCAGCATTAAATAACCAATAACCGGGAAGGCAGTGATTTATTAACCATTCAGCTTTTTGCAGAAAAAGTCTGCTCACCCCTACTATGGTAAGAGGTACCCCTAAGAAAGAGCAATGTAACGGGGACCCTGCACAGATCCGGAGGCCCACGGTACCATGTCCTCAAGGTCAAGGTAAAGCATAAGATAAACCCACGACACAGAAAAAGAGCGCAAAAAGGTGCCCATCTTGCCCAGCATGAGGTAGAGAGAGAAGGCACCATCTCTCCAGAAACGTGACCCACGCTCAGAGAACAGATGTGTATCCTCGCATCCTGGGAAGCAGGCACAAGCCCACACCAGTCTGCCATCAGAACCTGGCTTGGTTCCAGTCAAGGCACCATGAGGTGGCACAGGCTACAGAAATCAGGCCCTGGCCTGGAGATGATAATGCACAGAAAACAAAAGTACACTTGGTAATTTCGAGACCGGCAGTCGCAGAGAAACATCCTTGCCGCTCCCAGGTCCTGAATGGCCCCAAGCCCACCTCCCAGTGAACACAGGAAGCTGTGGGGTCTTCCACAGTGGCTTTGGGAGCCAGAAGGCTGGGTGGGGGATAGAAAGGACCAGGGCCCCCAAGTGCCCTTCCCAACTCGTCCGGTGTGAAGGGCTGTGGGTGTGCTGTGCCAAACACACAGGGGAAAGGCGGTACCCACACTGCTTGCTTGGCACAACACACTAAAGACCACAGCCACAGAACCAGACACCTGGGAGGCCCAGCTTTCATGTGGGGTTTTATTATTTGGCCTAGAAAGAGCAAACAGCCACGAGAACAGACATGAATGTCACTCGTGCGTGGCTCCAGCATTTTCCAACCTGGAAGGAAAAGTTGGAAAATGCAAACAAACGCATGTCTACGTGCAAAAGAAAGATCTGGTGGTGAGTTTCTTTTAGGGGATGTAGTGATTTGGATTAAAAAAAAAGAAAGGAGATGACCTAAGACTTGGGTTCTTTTTTTTTTTTGGCAGTGCTAGGGGTGGAACCAAGGTCCTTGCATGTTAAACAAACCTCCTACCACTTACGCCTCTAGTCTTAAGGATTCTTAATATACTTTTCAGATATTAAAAAGATGTATTTTTAAAACTCAGGAAAATAATAAAGGAGTTTTATAAATATGTCAGCCTCTTCTGGCCGGTTTGGCAGACTGTCTCCTGGTGGTGCTCCGCGGGTGAACACTGCTCCAGGACTCTGCCTCCCACGCCATCACCCCGCTCCGTCCAAGGCCCCAGGGCTTGGGTGTGGGAAGCAGAGTGAGGATGGGGTTCCACGGCCCTGGCTGGGCGTACCCCTGCACTCCCCAGGAAGTGGAAATTGATGCAGATTCCTAAAGCATCTGCTCTCCATGTATTCATAGAAAGAAAAAAGTGTCTAAGAGAGAAGACCCCAGAAGGGACGCCATGAGGGTGGACAGTGACCGGAGCCCCGGGGGAGGGACTTCACAAAGGCACCTCTGCTCATGGAAGCAGCCCGTGTCAATGCTCCTCGGGAGGGCATTTCTCCCATGCAGAGAAACTATGACAATCTAAAGCAAGGTGCGCTGGGCACTCAGATGGATATCCATGGCCATGGAACCTTCCCAGAAAGCCATTCCAAAGACATTGCCTGAAAGCTTTGACCTCTGTGATGTCAGGGCTCTTTGGAGCAGCCCCAGCACCAACAGGTCTTTGACTTTGGGACAGTTTTTAACGGCCAAGGGTAGCTGGTGCCAGGCCCACAGGAGGCAAGCAGTGAGCTGAAGGGGGTCTTGAGGGACACAGGCTACTCCCAAGGGGGCCCCTTGGGGGATGGAAAGACAGCTGCAGGATGCACACACCACCACTGTGTGACCTCTGAGGAACCCTAAGGACCCCATCCACTGATTCAGGACCCTCACTGGCCAAGTTCTCACCTTGGGGCAGTGAAGGGCAAGGTGACTGTGCCCACCGACTTGCCTGAGGTCCCACCCCAGGGACCCTCGCATCCCAGCAGCTCTGCTTGCTAACGGAGTACAGGAACCATGCGGCAAACAGAGTAGGCGTTGAGAATGGTGTGACAACCTTCAACACCACCCTGCACTTCCCTAAGGGGCCATGGGACAGCTGGGGCTCCTCCTGAGTCCCTCTGTGGACAGGAAGTCTGCAAGTATTTCCTGTGGTGGATGGGGCACTGCCAGCTGGAGCCCACAGTGTCTGGTGGATGGGGTCCCGGTCCCCCTGAAGACGGCTCACAGCCTCCAGGCCACACCTCCAGGGTCTGGCACAGCCCACTGGCACACAAGGCACAGATACCTGATGTGCCGGCGGAGAAGTTCTTAAGCGAGGGCCTCTGGACCACGGTGTAGGACTCGCCCACGACGAACACCTTGTAGAGCACAGCATTGTGGTTGATGAAGTTCTGGACCACACAGGGCGGCTGGATGGCACTCAGGCCCTCCTGGTTGAACACGATGGCCATCTGGGGAGACAGAGGCCAAAGGCTATCAGTTTACAGCCCTACCCCCCAACACGGCCGTGTCATCTCTCCAGGGCACCCCCTGGTCCCCTGTGGTTTATCTCTATGGCATGAGGTCCAAGGATTGGAATGCAAGAACACATGTGGATCCATTTGCGTTTGGTGTGAAGCTGGGAAATCCTGCATCCACGAAGCCTACCGTGTAGAGCCGAGCAGGCTGTGTGCTGCACAGCCTGAGAGTTTCCTTCACTCCACAGTCCCAGGGACTTGGACCCTGGGTCCTGTGCTACTCAACTCTAGGACACCCTGTAAGAGCCTCAGAAAGACCCAGGAGGGAGGCAGGCACAGAGCCATGGCTCAGGAGCTAGAAGCCTTGGGCCAAAGCCGTTATGGGTGTCATCTTCACAAGGCCCCTCCAAGACGGCACATCACCATTCCCTGCTTACAGGTGAGGAGGCTGAGAGAGAGTCATGTCTTGTGCACCTAGTCTACAGCCTCTGGGGGCAATAAGCCCAGGCAAGGACACAGCAGGGGACTGAGGCAAAGAGGGCAGGGGCAGCTGTAGGCAAGCACCATCTCTGTTGACCAAGGCTGGGGAGAACCCTGGCCACTGAGCCAGCTGTCAGTGCCAGCTCAAGCTAATCACTCCAGGCCCCAGGGTGGAGCCCCCACGACCTGGCAGCCCAGGACTGCTGAGCGGCTATGACAGGGCCTGGACAGCTGGGCCACTGCACAGCCACCACCCCTCATGTCAACTAGGTCCCCCTCAGTGGGCCAGGCAGAAACACAGGGAACCGATGTGTGCTGGGGTGGGGTGAGCCTGTCTCCTCAGGAGAAGCCATTGTGAAAATGAGAAGGCCCAGGCGCCCCAGGGTCAGACAGTTTGGGTGAGACGGCCTTCTGGGCTTGGCAAGTGGGGTGCCCACTCAGCTCTCTGTAGCACAGCAGCTAGGCCCCAGGGGTGACTTCAGAGTGCTTGAGCTTTGGGAAAAGGGAGATGAAGAGAAGGAGGAGGAGGAGGAGCACGGAGAAAGAGGGGAAGAGAGGCGCTGACTCTCCACCATGGAGTGTGCTAGCACCTGCCTGGCTTAAAATCACAATGGACACCTGCAGTCCAGGGAACGTGAACCACAAAGAGTGCTCTGGCAAAACCAGAGCTGGTCTGGGCGGAGTGAGAGGCCCCGTGAAGCAGAGGAGGCCGTGGGTGAGGCCACCAGAAACCCCCTCCTGACCACAGCCGATTCCCAGGCACCTGTGTCTTCTACCCAGCCTGCACATGACGCTGGGCACTATGGAGGTGCAGGAGCAGTCACCCCTCAGCCCTGCCTGGCCCGTGGGGACACCCTGTGAGGTTGTTGTGGCAGGCCAGCGCTGAGGCCAGGGTGGACCAGGGCAGCCCTGGTGCTGGGATGGGCAGAGTAGTACATGCAAGCATGTCCATCTTGGGGCAAATGGTTTCCCTGGAGGCACTGACCCAACCTGAGGGTCACAGCTGCCATGAAGCCAGCAGGGGCCAGCAAGAAGAGCCTGTCTGGACCAGAATGCCCAGGGAAGCTGACTCTATAGCAGCTTATCAAGCAATTCCCCTGGGCCGAGTGCCACACTGGAAACCCCTGATCCTTCTAAGATTGCTGCTAGATCCCCATTTATAAATGCAGGGCAGATGTTCAGAGAGGCTCGGGAACTTGCTCAAACTCACTCAGCTGGCAACACAGAACACCCAAAGTGGCCCAGTCCTGTGCATTCCAAGGTCAGGGTCCTCAGGCCTCCACTGACTGGGCCGTGGCCCGCCTCGTGGCTGACCAATCTGATGCAGGCTGCTGCAAGCACAACTGTGCCCACCCCCACACCCATTCCCTGAAACCAAGAACCCTGGTGACAGGAGGCACGGGGAACATAGCGCTGGCTGGCCTTGAAGGGCACCCCGGGTGCCCACAGGGCTCCTGATCTCTGAGATGGCTGCTCTTTATGGCCAGCAGTGACTTCCTTCCCATGGGCATTGCCAGCCCTGTCACAGCCTGTCCCCTGCTCCAGTGATGCTATCTGTTTATAGACATGGCCCTGTAATTATTTACAGGAATAAAGAGCACAGCGCGGTCTGAGAAAGGGCACAGTTGGCAGGCTTCCATCTTAGTCACTGTTCTGGGAGCGTTCTTGGGAGTGGGCTGCCCACAACAGGCTTCCCTCGGGCCCCCAGCATCCCCCCCAAGTACCCCATCCGCAGATAGCATCCTGGTGTGCTTCCTGGGGGTTGGGAGGACAGCAGGGACCCAAGGGAGCTGCCTCTGGCCCCCAAGTCCTCACTGTGCACTGCCTTCCTTCACGCCCCTGGGGTCTCCATAGAGATTCTCTGCCCCCAGGCCAGCGCTTGATCACAGGCACCATTCCTGACACCCAGGTGTTCTGGGCACAGCTGCAGGGGATGGAAAAGGTACAGGATGGCAGAGGTCATGGCACACCTGCAGGCATGGGTCCCCTTTCCTTCCTCCCTGGTCCCCTCTCAGCAGCTGGCAGACCTCAGGGGCAATGATGGAGTCTTCCCAGTTCGTGGCCTCCCTGGGTCAAGCCCAGTGCCAGCCACCAATGAACCAGAGGACACAAAGACCAGGACAAGTCAGGCTGCTGTGACTTCCACAGGATCTGCTGTGTACTTCATGTGTGTCCCCAGCAACTCTTTAAGCAGAGCCCTGAGCCCCAGGATGAGGGTGTTCGGAGGTAAGCAGGTTCTGATGAGATCCAGGGGTGGGAGGGTCCCCTCACAATGGGATTAGTGCCTCACAACACACTCTCATGTTCTACACACACAGCGGGTGGTTGGAGGAAACAGATCTCACTGCCAGCAGCAGCCCTCACCAGAACCCAGCCCTGCCAGCACTCCAACCTGGGACCTCCAGCTCCAGGTCTGAGAAAACAAAGGTCTGCATTTAAGTTGCACAGCTATGGTGTTTCGACACGGTGGTCCTGCTGACTAAGCCAGGCTCCAAATGGGGCAGGTGGCCCAACACATCCTCCTGGCCTCGGGGGGACAGGGACAGGCAGTGTAGATGAGGTTGGACACAGTGTAAAAGGCCACAGTGTATCCTCTGCTGACTCCTGCAGAGCCTGGGAAGGCAGCTGCTCATTGGGAAGCAGAGACCAGAGCAGGACAGGGCATGGCGGTGGGTACGGCTCTGGCCATGGAGCTCAGGGGTTCCAGTGAGACAGGAAGGGCTGACAGGATTGGGGGGGGTGGCAGTGCAGGGAAGCAGGGGACAGGGATAGTTGCGTCTTCCACTCACCTCATGAGAGTTGGTGCCATGGGCCACTCGGGTTTTACAAACTGTGGGTCGGAAAGACAAGCAAACAGGAATTAGCAGGACCAACATCTACACCACCTGACCTGGCGGACGTGGAGGGACCAGGCAGTGGGGAGCTGATGCGATGCACTGGGGACAAACAGTGTCTGCACCAGCAATGTGACAGACCCCCCAGGCTAGGCAGGAAGGACGTCTTTGGCCCACAACCCGGAGACCCACTCAATAGAGGGGCAGAGATAGGACCCAGGGCCACCTCTCCTTGGCAGCCACAACTGCCCACACTCAGGCGAGTTGAAGTCCCAAGGTCTCTCAATAGTGCCTCGCCCGCTCCCCAGGGCCAGCAGAACCTGCCCGCCCGCACAACGCAAGGCACACGCATACATACTGAAGGGGAAGGCCAGGCCATTCTGCTCCAGCAGCCGCACAGTGTCATTTCCACACAGGCTCGTGAGCTCCATGAAGGGCGGGGAGCAGATCCTGTCATCTGGAGTGGAGAGAGGTCAGGTCAGCGCCCTGCCCGAGGGTCCTCCAATACCTGCCACTGCACTCCCCAACGCTGACTGTCCCCAACTCTGCAGTGTCCTGTGTGTGTGAACGCTAAGGCACATTCTTCAATTGTACTTTCTAGTGTTAGTTCTATAATTATAAAAGTTTTATCTGCTAACCGGAACATTTGAAGAGCACAGAAACATACAAAATACACACATTCACATATAATTCCCCTGCTCCCTTCTTCTCAGCCTTTGTTTTAAATGCGAACACACCGACCACGGCTGTCTGGTAGACACCATTTTGTAACCTGGTTTTCAACTTAATTAACTGTTTTCCAAGCTCAATACTTTTCCACCATGTGACATGTTGGCTTAATGACAACCCCAGGACGACATCATGTGTCTGGTACCACGCTGATGGCTTCACGCATTATCACCTCTGCAGCAGCAAACTCATCTCACAAGCAGGAAACAGAGATCAGAGGGATGAGAAAACTTGCCCTTGGTGACGGTCATCATTACCTGTGCAGGGGTGCCCCCTAGGGTGGCCTGTGACACTCACTACCTCCATCTCTCAGCCCGCTTCCTGTGTCTCTCAGGCCAGGCCACCCCCGCCTTGTGCTGCTGGTCCCCCACCTGGTGCCCGCACTGTGGGTCCTAACACTGTGCTGGGTTTTCAGAAAACCCCTGAGGCTGAGTTTTGTAATCATTATGGGCTTCCTGTTGCCAAGCACCAATAAGGGCAAAGCGGGTTTCTGGTGAGATAACAAGATGTATTTTCAATCTCCACTGATTATTCACTAACTCATTTGTTATTACTGAGTCCAGTCTACCTTCTCTGGAAAGACCATGGGCTCCCAGGAGGCAGGACCAGCCTGTACTTTGGGCACAGGGACTGGCCAGGACTGAGCAGTACTGAGGTCACCCATAATTTTGGAAAGCAGACTGGCAAAGCATTGTCCCCAGAGCTTCCAGCTACTCAGCTGGCCAGGAGATCAGCACATTAAACCAAGCAGGATCGTTCAGCTCATAAAAACCCATGCCAAGAACTGCATGGGGCATATTAAAAGTGCCTTTCCTCCCACCTTACCTCTCTCCCCCAGGCAGAGTTCAAACCCTAAAGAGATATGACATTCAGGGTTGCAGGGTTTCCTTGTGGGCCTTGGAGGGTGTTGGGAGCCAGCACCTCCTGGGTCCCTGCCGGGGTGTTCTTTTCATCCTCAATGTGCTGTGACAGTGTCTGGAGGCACAGACCCAGAAACGGGGTCCATGGCGGTGTTGCCCAAGGTCACATGCTGGCCCACAGGGCCAGAACGAGGGGCTGGGCTTGCCTGGCGGCCAACAGAAATCAGGAGAATCAGGTGGGGAGGAAGGGTGCTCAGCTCAGGCTCTGGCCACACATAGCCCCCAGAGTCAGCCTGGGCAGAAAGGCTGGTGGGCGCTGGTGGCCCTTCCACCATGGGAAGGGACGAAGTGGGCTGTGCAAAGATTCCTTGCTGCAGACCTCCGGCCCTGCAGTCTTGTGGCCACGCAGACGCAATGCGCAGGTGTGAACACGCTGTAGGACTCAGCAATGCACGGGCTTCAGATGGGAGCTCACCTGATCTAGCAGGGGCTGGGGTACCACCTCTGGACGATGACAGGGCACACACCCTCTCCCAGGAAGGGTAGCTGTTGGGGGCCCAGAGGTCATCTCCTGGCAGAGTTCTCAGACCACACCCCCCAACCCTCCTGCCAGTTTCCAAGGCAGGTGAACCAGCCTGGTTTCAGAGTTTGGCTTTTCAGACTTCAATGCCCCCCAGCTGTAACAACTCCACGGTGGCTCCTTCAGTGTCATCGATGATGGCCAAACACTGCACTGGCTCTGTGCCAGACGCTGCTCCACAGGCCACACTGCCACTTGTTTACCCTCATAAAAGCCCCACGAGGAAGCCTTTACCCCATCCACAGTGAGGAAACTGGGGCACAGAGGTACAGCTCCCCACGTGGGGTTACACAGGGAGCAGTGGTGGGATCAAGGCTGAAGAGTGACCTCCTCTGCCAGGTGACAAATCCCAGGCAACAGCAGCTTTGGCTTACGGAAATCAGTCCACGCCACACACCACATCCCAGCAGCCCCTTCACCCAGGGCTGTGCTATCCGTGGGTTCAGCTCCTTCCAATTAATGCAGTTCAAAGATCTCAAATGTAAAATATCAGAAATCAAAAACTCCTAAGTGCACGCCATTCTGAGTAGGGGGATGAAATCTCCCAGCATCCCCTTCTTCCCAGGCCACTCCTGAATCACCTCACTGTCCAGCATGTTCAGCCTCTGCACACTACCAGCCTATCAGTCACCTAGCAGCTGTCCACTGCCGTGTCTCAATGCTTGTGTGCAAGTAACCCTCATTTCATTTAATGACAGCCAAAAAGCACAACGTCAGGGAGGCTGGCAATTTTATTACAGCATGTTGTTATAATTGTCCTATTATGTAATTACTATTTATCTCTTACTATGCCTAATTTATAATTGAACTTCATCTTTGATGGTGCCAGAGATGGAACCCAGGGCCTCATACTAGGCAAGTGCTTTACCATGGAACCACACCCCTGGTCCTATAAAGTGAACTTTATTATAGATATGTAGGTACTGTACAGCGAAAAAACCCATAGAAATATAGAAGTGGGTACTGTCCAAAGTTTCAGGCACCCATTGAGGGTCTTGGAACTCATGCTCCATGAATAAGGGAGGACTTAACTGTAACCCAACAAGAAACAAAAACCACCCGCCCTCTTCGTAGATGCAGGGAAAGCATCGGATAAAACCCAGCACCCTTTCATGGTAAAAACACTCAGCAACTAGGGATGGGAGGGAATTCCAAAACCGAATAAAGGCATCTACAAAGTCCATACTTAAAGATAACATCAAATTAATAGCAAAAGTCTGGATACTTCTCCTCTAAGATCAGGAACAAGACAAGACGTTGGTTCTTGTCACTTCTACTTAACACCATACCAGGGTTTCTGCGGGGGCCATTAGGCAAGAAAAATGAAATGAAAAGCATCCAGATTGGAAAGAAAGAAGTAAAACTATATATATTTGCACATGATTATAATCTGGCACATAGCCACTCTCAAGGACCCCATACATACGCACCCCCACCCAAACTCCTGAACTGATAGAGTGAATAATAAATGAATTCGTTAAGATTGTAGGATACAAGATCAATATAGGAAAAGCAGGTGTATTTGTATTCCACAGTGATGAACAATCCAAATGTAAAGTAACTCATTCCATTCCCAGGAGCATCAAAAAGGATAAAATTCTTAGGAAAAAATTTAACACTGCTAATTATAAAATGTTGTTGAAAGGAATTAAAGAAAATGTCAGTAAGTGGAAACACATACTATAAACAGGAGATTTAATACTGTTAAACTGACAGTTTTTCCAACATGATCTACAAATTCAATACAACACTCACCAAAATCTTGGCATTCTGTTTTTAGGAATTAACAGGCTAATCCTAAAATTCTTATTAAAACGGAAGACAGCCAGAACGTCCAAAGCATTTTTAAAACACAGTGAAAGACTCATACTTCCTGATTTCAACATTTACTACAATTGAGAAAATCTGGTATTGACATAAAGACAGAGACAAGCCTACAGAATAGCCTGGGGAACCCAGAAGTAACCTACACACCTGCTGATTTTCTACACAGGCACCAATGGGGGAAAGAATATTCTTTCCAGTAAATGGTGCTAGGACAACTGACTATAACATGTAGGTGAACAAAGCTGGACACCCATCTCACCTTATATACAAAACTAATTCAAAGCGGGCCATGAGCTAGCTGTGAAGCACTAAAACTACAAACCTCTCAGAAAAATTACCAAGGCATTAAGCTTCACAATCATCGATTAGCTCATGCTTCTAAGATATGGTACTAAAAGCACAAGCAACCAAAGTAAAAGTAGATTAAATGGATAGCATTTTAAAAAAAATTGTGCTTAATAGGGTGCTGTAAAGATAGTGAAAAGACAACCCACAGGAGAAGAGAAAATAGTTATAAACTGTACAGAGTGGTGCCTCGGTTCATGAATGCTTTTGTTTGCAAACAATCTGGTTCACAAAAAGAAGCATTTGGCAAACTCTTGTTTTTGTTTGCAAACTCTGCATTGCGTGACAAGTATGACCGTAGCCATCTTTTCCAGAATTGTGGCGTGAATTAAGCTTATGAAGCGAGGCTGTATCTGGTAACGGTCTCATATACAAAATATACACAGACCAACTAAACAACATAAGACAAGCCAATTAAAAATAGGCAAAGAATGTGAAGAGAGGAGTTCTCAAAACAAAACCAAAAAACGGCCCATAAACACCTGAAAAGAGGCTCAGTATTATCAGTAAACCCAGTCACAGATGAAAAACTGCATCAAAACCACCATGAATACTACCTCAAACCCACTGTTAATGGCTATCACTAAAAAGGCAGTAAGAGGTGTTGTTGAGGGCATGGAATATTTCAAACCCTTGTACATTTTTTATGTCAATTAAGAAATAAAGACAATGGGGCTGGGGATTTAGCTCAGCGGCATAAGCGCCTGCCTTCAAGCAGGCAGTCGTGAGTTCAATCCCCGGTACCGATAAAAACGAAAAAGACAAAAAAAAAAAAAAAAAAAAAGAAAGAAAGACAAGAAGGAAACCCACAGCTGACATCGTGGGGTGTCTGCTCTCCATGGGCCCCCAGGCTAAATAAAGCCTTTACATCCAGAGTTTCCTTCAATCCTCCCCACAAATGTGCAGAGTCCAGTCCCCACCCTTGGGAGTCCAGAGAGAAGTCGGAAAAGGGACAAAAGGAGCCCGTCTGCCCCAGTGATGTCTGGAGTCCAGCAGAATGCAAGGAGAAGGCACTTTTAGTGAGTGGGCAGCACCCAGCCTCAGCTCACAGCCGGCACCCTTCTGAAATCTCAGGCTTTTGGGTGCACAAGTGGGCCGAGAGAGTCGCGTTCACAC